GCCATCTTGCCGGAAGTCCTGTGTCCTATTCTTTAAGGGGAATTTAAAATTTTTTTTCAAGGGTGATTTTGACCATTCTTGCTTTTCAACTTGCTGGCTTTAGAACCAGACCCCATGTACAATGGGAAACAACTATACGTGGTGCTTTGCTCTTTTTTTTTCCCCAGTTCATTTTTTTTCTGAATTTTATTTATTTTGTTGTTGTTGAGAATATACACAGCAAAACATACACCAATTCAAGTTTCTACATGTATAATTTAGTAACATTGATTACATTCTTTGAGTCGTGCAGCTGTTCTCACTGTCATTTCTGAGTTGTTGCTCCCCCAACGTAAACTCTCTACCCCCAAGGTTCCTATCTAATCTTTTGAGCTGCTGTTGTCACTTTGATCCCATATAGATAGTTCTGAAAAGATTATAATGCTCAAGGCAGTCCATTTTTACTAGTTAAGCTAAACTCTTGTTTGATTTGAAGATGACTTCACAGTATATTTTTGGTTTAAGGTTTAAAGATTATCTCAGAGCAATAGTTTCAGTGGTTCATCCACTCTCCATGGCTCCAGAAAGTCTAGAGTCCATGAGAATATGAAATTGTGTTCTGCATTTTCCCCTTCTTGATAGATTCTTTTATGGAATCTTTGATAAAAATGTTCAGTAATGGTAGTCGGGCACTATCCAGTTCTTCTGATCTTATGGCAAAGGAGAGGCAATTCATGGAGGCTGTTAGCCACGCATTCCATATCCTCTTCCTATTCCTGACTCTCCTTCTTCTTCTGTTGCTCCAAATGAATAGAGACCAATTGTTGTACCTTGGATGACTGTTCGCAAGCTTTTAAGACCCTGGGCACTATGCTGTGAACTAGGAGGTAGAACAGAAGCACTAAACACGTTATTAGGCTAATTAACTGGATGGCCCATGAAACCATGACCCTAAACCTCCAAACCAAGGAACCAAATACCGTGAGACGTTTGCTTGTACATAAGCAGCCTCAGCAGCTACTTTTTTTGTCATTGTTGTAAATATATCTATCTAGAAATATTTCTTTATTAACAATAAATAAATTTACCTTATTTATCTTTATTTAAAGAATAATTTTTTCTTTATCATTTAACATCTCTCATTTCACTGCCATGTATTTATTATTAGTTATATAAATTTTCCTTATATTCTAGCTTCAGTGCATAAGCATATCTTCTTAGACAATAATAAGATGATTTCTGTATAAATTATCTCCTACATTCGAGGTGAAGAAGTACTTATCCCTAATCCTGATGACAGCCTTTAATAACAAAAGTGTCATCCAAATCACTGTTGAACTTATGATTCCAAAATCTTAATTGAAGTCTTGTATATCAGTTTTGTATTATTGCATAAGAAGTTACAACAAACTTAGCAGCTATCATGGTTTGAATTATGTCCCCCAAAAAATGTGTGTATCAATTTGGCTAGGCCATGATTCCCAGAATTGTGTGGTTGGCCTCCATTTTGTGATTGTAATTTTATGTTAAAAGAGGATTAGGGTGGGATTGTAACACCACCTTTACCCAGGTCACATCCCTGATCCAGTGTAAAGGGAGTCTCCCTCGGGTGTGGCCTGTACCACCAAAGGAAAGGGAAGCAAGCAGAGAGTTGGGGACCTCATACCATCAAGAAAGCAGTGCCAGGAGCAGAGCACGTCCTTTGGACCGGGGTCTCTGTGCTGAGAAGCTCCTAGTCCAGGGGAACACTGATGAGAAGGCCAAGAGAGAGAGAAAGCCTTCCCCTGGAGTTGACACCCTGAATTTGGACTTTTAGCCTACTTTACTGAGAGGAAATAAACTTCTCTTTGTTGAAACCATCCACTTGTGGTATTTCTGTTATAGCAGTACTAGATGACTAAGACAGCAGCCTAAAACAATACAAATTTATTATCTGACAGATCTATAAGGATAGGAATTTGGGCATGGGTTAGCTGAGCATGGCTCTGCTAAGTCCTGTGGCCGAGACTGCCATTTCATCTAAGACTTTTTGTCCTTTTCCAGCTCATTTGTTAGAATTCAGTTCCTTACAGTTGTAGCACTGAGGCACTTAGCTACTAGAGGTTGCTCTTTGCATTGCAGTTTGCTTCACCTTTGAGACCAGCAGAAAAGTCTTTTACTTCACCTTCTTTTAAAGGGCTCATCTTGATTAGGTCATGCTCACATAGGATAGTCTCCCCTTTGATTAATTCAAAGTCAACTGATTAATAACCTGATTATGGGACTGATATCCTATCATATTCACAGATACTGCATACAGGCTGTTTACTCCAGATGGTGATAACCTTAGGGACCATTTTAGCATTCTGCCTGCTGTAGTTTGCAAACAGGTCAAGACATTTTGGGGAATTTTCCATTTTGACTAATGGGTTTGCTCCAACAATACAAAGCTGGTACAATTCCAGGCTAGGGGCACAATAATAATTTAGTGAAGAGTTAGTGTGTGCCAGCTACTTTGCAAATATTGTCTTCCTTAATCTCTACAACAACTCTGTGATGGCTCTTCATACTTTATCCCAGTTTCCAGATAGGGAAACTAAAGCTAAGAGAGTTTAAGTATTAATCTTGATTTGTATATCACTTAGAATTATATGTAATTACAGTGTCTATGCAGGTAATTTATAACAAATATATGACTTACTATTATTATTTTAGGTGTGGTAATGGTAGTTTAGTTATGGTTTTAAAAAGAGAGAGTCCTTTTAAAGAGACATTCCAAACATTTTACAGATGAGATTACATGTTTTCTCAGGTTTGCTTCAACATAATTCTTGGGAGATGGGGAGTTGGAGCCTGGTGGCACAGTGGTTAAGAGATCGGCTGCCAACCAAAAGGTTGGCAGTTTCAATCCACCAGCCACTTCTTGGAAACCCTATAGGGCAGTTTTACTCTGTCCTGTAGGGTCACTATGAGTCGGAATTGACTTGATGGCAGTGGGTTTACGGGTAAGTTGGAAAATGGATGTGAGGATATTGGTGAAATGAAACTGGCCATAAGTTGATATTTTGTGACGTTGGGTGATGGGTAATAATGTTCATTATACTATTCTTCCTATTTTTGTATAGGTTTGAAAATTTCTATAGTAAACATTTAAAAAAATCCATTTGTTCCTTGTTATAATTCTAAATAAGAAAAAAAAAAAACACTGGCTAAAATTTTATTTCTTAAACATCTGAATGTCTATAATTTTAAAACGATGAGTTTTTATTACTTTTCATGGAACCATAAAAGTTATTTACACAAGAATTTATTTTGTTAAAGTAGTATTGTGTAGTGGTTAAGAGCATGGACTTATTATCTGGATACAAGTCCCAGTGTTGCCATATTTAGTAGTTGTATGAGCTTGTGTAGGTTACATCTCTGTCCCTCAGTTTTTTTTTTTTCCATTTGTAAAACAGGAACACTTGTACCTATCTTACACAGTTATTAAGTAAAGTATGCAATGGATAGAGATTGCAATAAGACAGCGAAACAATCTATACACCCGGATACGTTTAATTAAGCTTTCTCTTAAATGAGGAACTTGAGTTACTTATTTTCCCTTTGTAATTAGAAGGTATTACACGTTCTTGTTATGCTTTTGAGCCTGTGGGTCTCAAACTAGCGTTTCTAAAAGTTTCTCCCTTTCATAACACATATTTACTGTGTTTTTCAGTGGGGGTCCTGTTGACGTCTTAGACAGGACACTAGTTGTAAACTGTCTTTCATACTGTGGGACATCTATATTTACATACATCCCCCTCCCCCTGCATGGAACCCTGGTGGCGCAGTGGTTAAGAGCTACAGCAAGCTATGGCTGCTAACCAAAACGTCAGCAGTTCGAATCCATTAGCTGCTCCTTGGAAACCCTATGGAGCAGTTCTGCTCTGTCCTCTAGAATTGCTATGAGTTGGAATCGACTCGGCAACGAGTTTGTTTTGTTTTTTTGGTTCCCCCTGCATTAAATACCAGTCCTGACCTGTCATTACAACAACATTATGTCTTCTAGAGGAATAGAACCATTCCTGGTTGGGAGCCACCTGTCTATCCAGATTTTAATGGTGATCCTATAGATTAGTTTGGAGCACTGGTTGACACTTCTTCTTACAACTCTGCCTAACACATCTGTGTTGAGAGATCTAGTGTGAGAACCATTGAGCCAAATTATTGCCATTTCTACAGTGATTTATAGACCTGTGGAGTGTTTTGATTTTGGAAACCGTAAACCTGAACGCTATCCTGGCCTTATTAAACCAAAATACTGGGTGTGTGGTGTGAGAGTAAACATGTCTATATTTCGGGAAAACTCCATGGGTAAGACTGATGCTCTACCAGTTGCTTGTAAGATTTCTGTGAGCTTAACTATCAACAACTTCCTTTCTTGTAGGTGATAGAAATTGAAGATGCTTCACCCACCAAGTGTCCAATAACAACCAAATTGGTTTTAGATGAAGATGAAGAAACCAAAGAACCTTTAGTTCAGGTTCACAGAAATATGGTTATCAAATTGAAACCCCATCAAGTAGATGGTAAGAAACTATTAGATGTATAAATCCTGTTTAGTTAAATTTTACCAATATTTCAATGTCTCCTATGTGCCTCACATTCTGCTAAGCACTGACAGTATATTGCTGAGCAAGACAAACATGGTTCCTGCCCTTACGGAGGTCTAGTTGAATGAGGAAGAACAAAATTAAATGATTACAAACATTAATAGTATGTTATAAAAGGTGAAGGAAGTGCTACTTCCAAATGGATTTTACCTATTCACCTAGTCTACAGTGGTAGGCTAAGGGCATTGGTAATGGGGAGTAGAGACAGGCATTCTGTTGTGGTTGAGTCAGTTCCGACTCACAGTTACCCTACAGGACAGAGTAGAACTGTCGCATAGGGTTTCCAAGGCCGTAATCTTTATGGAAGCAGACTGCCACAACTTTCTCCCGTAGAGCAGCTGGTGGGTTCGAACTGCTGACCTTTTGGTTAGCAGCTGAACACTTCGCCATTGCATCAAACCTTATTCAGGAAATGCTATTTCAGCATATTTCAGGTATGTTTTTAATAGTATTCTTACATTGGTATTAGAAAGATACCAAACCATCCCTACCTTCTGCTTTGCTGGAATGGGATTAGTAAGTTAGTTTTGACTGTGTGAATGAATCCATAAGGGAAGTTCTGTAATTTATATTCCTTGGGTAGCTAGCCTCCTTTCTTCTTCAGTCTCTACTATTGAATAAAAAGGAAAATGATGAATCATTGTTTTTTTTTTTTTTTGCCTGATTGACTTATGAAAGTGTGTTTGATAGGAAGCTCTTCCCTCTTTGGATGAAGTTTCTATTTTAGAATATTCATATGTGTCTTTGGATGATACTAGGTAATGAGGAAGATCTGTCATGAAAATCATGTTTTTTTGTGGTTGTATTCACTGTATTGTTTCTAGTTTACCTTAACTGAAAAAATTCCATTTACATTTAAGAAATCCTTTAACTCTGAATATTTTCTTTCACTCAGTTTCTTAGAAGTTTTTAATGTGTTTATGAGGGAAGCTTTTTAACTTGGACCTTTAAATTGAACTTAATGAAGCTGTCACTTTTAGGTGTTCAGTTTATGTGGGATTGCTGCTGTGAGTCTGTAAAAAAAACAAAGAAATCTCCAGGTTCAGGATGCATTCTTGCCCACTGCATGGGCCTTGGTAAGACTTTACAGGTAAGAACTAAAGAATGTGAAGGCATTCTGTTTTTGTGTATTCATTAATTCAAGAAGTATATGTTGGATTCTGTTATGTCCGAGGCATAGTTGTAGGGGCTGGAGATAAAGAAAGAAAGAAGAATAAAAGGGTCCCTACCCTCAAGGAGCTTATATTGTAGTGGGAGAGGAAGACATTAATCAAATAAAATAAAAAATTTGTACTTTCAGGTAATAACCATTAAGAAGGAATGGAGAAATAGGGAGTCATCTTTTCGGAGGTGAAATTTGAGCAGAGACCCTAATGAAGCAGGGGAGTGGGATTGTAGGCATAGGCAACAACTGCAGACTGAAGTGAAATGAATTTCTTTTACAACTCTTATAAGTCTGTGATGCTACAATAATGAGAATGTATTTTTCACTATTAAAATTATTGCGTTTCTGAATGACGGGAATTGTAGCAGAGATTGGAAATTAATGAATATATATGTATTTATAAACCATAAAGTAATTATTATGTATTCAGTGAGTCAGAACACTTTAAAATGAAAAGTAATTTATAACATAATTCTCTTCCAAATGGACATTTGTATTTGCTGGAAGGCAGTAGGGAAGTTATATGGAGACCAGGGACTATACTAATAGCTGTCTTAAAATTGCAGCATTTTATATTCATATTATTCATACTGATCGTAGAATCATGGAGCTTTAGCATTGGAAGGAGCCTTGTACATAATTTAGCTGAGTGCTCTCACTTTACTTATCATGTCTCCTTCCCTGTACTTTTTCTGGTTTGGAAATTACGACCTTTGGTTGCTTGCTTTATTCTTTAAAATAAAACAAAACTGACTATTAAATTATGAGATTGTTCATTAACTTTTTGTGGATATTTCAATCAAGATGGTAACTTAATCTTTTCTTTTAGGTGGTAAGTTTTCTTCATACAGTTCTTTTGTGTGACAAATTGGATTTCAGCACAGCTTTAGTGGTTTGTCCTCTTAACACTGCTTTGAATTGGATGAATGAATTTGAGAAGTGGCAGGAAGGATTAAACGATGATGAGAAGCTTGAGGTATCATATTTTAAATGTTTTCTATTATTAAAATAACTCGAGATTCATAGGGAAAGAAAAACATTTTTAATTACCAGTGATGCATATTTCAGTGGAGAGATTTAGTATTCATACATTCTTAATAGCTAATTTTAAAAATCCTTATTTTCCCACAAAAGGTCTCTGAATTAGCCACTGTGAAACGTCCTCAGGAGAGAAGCTACATGCTGCAGCGGTGGCAAGAAGATGGTGGTGTTATGATCATAGGCTATGAGATGTACAGAAATCTTGCTCAAGGAAGAAATGTGAAGAGTAGGAAACTTAAAGAAATATTTAACAAAGCCCTGGTTGATCCAGGTAAGATATTAACAGGCATTGAGATAAAGAAGCAAGTTGAGTAAAAAAGTTTATATATGTTTTATTTAACAAATACTTACTGGACAACTACTAAATTGCTGGGTTTTGTTTCATTTATCCTTCAGGTTTTTGTCTTTTGATTCTTAGTACTTTTCATTAAGGTGAAATAACCCTTAATGTTGCCAGCTGTTCACAATTAACTTGTTGAGTATGGAAGTGTTTGGAGTTTTCAAGGGAGACCTTGTAAACAATTAAAAACACATCAGGTAACTGTGTCACAATTGTGGACTCTTCCAACTCTGAATATCGGGTGATAACAAGAGCTCTCTCCGTATTCTGAAAATAAGTCTTAAGTTTCTTTCCAAACTTTATGTCGTTAGAAGAATTGCTGCTTGCTCATCTCCTACCTTTTAAACAGTTATCACTATGGAAAGTTAATATTTGCAATGATGTCTATCGTTATGATAGTAATCTGATGTGAGAGCCAAATATTTAATTCTTTTTTTTGTTTATTGTTGTCTTTTAAGTGAAAGTTTACATTTCAAATTAGTCTCTTATACAAAAATTTATACATACATTGTTATGTGACCCTAATTGCTCTCCCTATACTGTGAGAGCACACTCCTCCTTTCCACCCTTGATTTCCCATTTTCATTCAACCAGCTCCTAACCCTCTCTGCCTTCTCATCTAACTTCCAGACAGAAGCTGCCCATTTGGTCTCATGTATCTACTTGAGCTAAGAAGCACCCTCTTCATGAGTATCATTTTATGTCCCACAGTCCAGTCCGATCTTTGTCTGAAGAGTTGGCCTCGGAAATTGTTTTAGTTCTGGGCTGACAGAGAGTCCAGGGACCTTGCTTTCCGGGGTTCCTCCAGTCTCAGTCACACTATTAAGTCAGACATTTCATTCTTATTGGCCACATTGAAAAGCAGCAAATTGTACTACCTGCAAAACTAAAATTATTTTTTATGTAAGTTTCTTAATTTGCGTGTACATTTTTTTTCCTTTTCTAATTTTATCTTGCCATAGCTTATTATTTTAAGACATTGTTGAGGCTTTAGATATTTCTTTTTTTCAATTGTACTTTAGATGAAGGTTTACAGAATAAAATAGTTTCTTACTAAACAGTACACATGATGCCCTACGACAAGGGTTAAGAACCCCACTACATGTCAACACTGTCCTTACTCAACCTTGGGTTCCCTATCACCAGTTTTCCTGTCCCCTTCTGCCTTCTAGTCCTTGTCCCTGGACTGCTGTGCCTCATTAGTCCCGTTTTTTTTTTTAATTGTACTTCAGGTGAAGGTTTACAGAACAAATAGCTTCTCATGAAACAGTAGTACACATATTGTTTTATGACATTGGTTAACAATCCCACGACACGTCAACCCTCTTCCTTCTCGACCTTTTTTTTTTTTTTTTTTTTGGTGAAAATATACGTAGCCAAAGATACATCATTTCAAAAATTTCTGCATGCACAGTTCAGTGACATCGACTACGCTCTTGCAGTTGTGCTGCTATTCTCACTTTAAATGAAGGTTTACAGAACAAAATAGTTTCTCATTAAAGAGTTAGTATACATGTTGCTCTATGACAATGGTTAACAACCTCACAGCACATCAACACTATCCTTACTCAACCTTGGGTTCCCTATCACCAGTTTCCCTGTCCCCTTCAGCCTTCTAGTCCTTGTCCCTGGACTGCTGTGCCTTAATAGTCCCATCTGGTTTTATGGGGCTGTCCACTCCCCGGCTGAATGGTGAACCTTGGAAGTGACTTCACCACTGAACTACAAGGGTGTCTGGGGGCCATACTCTCGGGGTTTCTCCAGTCTCTTTCAGGCCAGTAAATCTGGTCTTTTTCTGTGTGTTAGAAATTTGTTCTACATCCTTCTCCAGCTCTGTCCAGAACCCTCTGTTGTGATCCGGTCAGAGCAGTCAGTGGTGGTAGCCGGGCACCATCTAGCTGCACTGGACTCAGTCTGGTGGAGGCCTTGGTAGCTGTGGTCCAATTAGTCCTTTTGGCTAATCTTTTCCTTGTATCCTGTTCTCTTCATTCTCCCTTGCTCCCAAAGGGGTGAGAACAGTGAAGTATCTTAGATAGCTGCTCACAGGCTTTTTAGACCCCAGGTGCTACTCACTAAGGTAGAATGTAGAACGTTGTCTTTATAAAGTGTGTTATGCCAATTGACCTAGATGTTCCCCGAGACCATGGTCCCCACAGCCCCTCCACCCAGCACTTCAGTCTCTCAGGGAGTTTGGATGTGTCTTTGGAGCTTCCATGACCTTTCCTTGTACAAGTTGTGCTAGTTTCCCCTGTATTGTGTACTGTCTCACCCTTCACCAAAGATACTACTTATCTATTGTCTATATAGTATTCCCCTGCCTCTCCCATCCCTTGTAATCAACAAAGATTGTTACTTTTTGTGTGTAAACTTTTTCGTGAGTTTTTAAAATAGGTCTCATGCAATATTTGTCCTTTTGTGATTGACTTATTTCACTCAGCATAATGTCCTCCAGTTTCATCCATGTTAGGAGGTGCTTCACAGATTCATCATTGTCCTTTATCATTGCGTAATACTCCATCGTGTGTATGTACCATAGTTTGTTTATCCATTCATCTGTTGATGGGCATCTAGGTTGTTTCCATCTTTTTGCTGTTGTGAGCAATGCTGCCATGAACATGGGTATGCGTGTGTCTATCCATGTGATGGCTCTTATTTCTCTAGGATATATTCCTAGGAGTGGAATTGCTGGATTGTATGGTATTTCTATTTCTAGCTTTCTAAGGAAGCGCCATGTCATTTTCCAAAATGGTTGTACATTTTGCATTCCCACCAGAAGTGCATAAGACTTCTGATCTCCCCGCAGCCTCTCCAACATTTGTTATTTCCAGTGTTCTTGATTTGCGCCAGTAATGCTGGGGTGAGATGGTATCTCATTGTGGTTTTAATTTGCATTTCTCTAATGGCTAGTGAATGTGAGCATTTCCTCATGGGTCTGTTGGCCACTTAAATGTCTTCTTTGGTGAAGTGTCTGTTCATTTCCTTTGCCCATTTTTTAATAGGATTATTTGTCTTGTTCTGGTAGAGGTGTTGGGTTTTCTTGTAGATTATGGAGATTAGACTTTTGTCTGACTTGTACTATCCAGAAATTTTTTCCCAGTCTGTAGGTTCTATTTTGACTCTTTTGGTGAAGTCTTTTGAAGAGCATAGGTGTTTGATTTTTAGAAGATCCCAGTAATCTAGCTTATCTTCTTGGGTTTGCATGTTGATGGTTATGGTTTGTGTCCTGTTAATGCCGTATATTAGGGCCTGTAGTGTTGGTCCTATTGTTTCTTCTATGGACTTCATAGTTTTTGGCTTTATATTTAGGTCTTTGATCCATTTTGAATTAGTTTTTGTATATGGTGTGAGGTATAGGTCCTGTTTCATTTCTTTGCAGTTGGATATCCAGTTTTGCCAGCTCCATTTGTTAAAAAGACTGTCTTCTCCCCATTTGATGGACTTTGGGCCCTTGTCGAAGATCGGGTGACCATAGGTGGATGGATTTACATCTGGGTTCTCAATTCTTTTCCATTGGTCAATGTATCTGTCATTGTACAAGTACCAGGCTGTTTTGACTAACATAGCTGTACAGTAGGTTTTGAGGTCAGGTGGTGTGAGTCCTCCAACTTTATTCTTCTTTTTCAGTAGTGCTTTACTTCTTTGGGGCTTCTTCCCTTTCCATATAAAGTTAATGATTAGTTTTTACATCTCTTTGAAGAATGTTGTTAGTATTTGGATCGAGATTACATTGTATTTATAAAATGCTTTGGGTAGAATTGTCATTTTCACAATGTTGAGTCTACCTATCCATGAGCATGGTATGTTTTTCCATTTATGTAGAACCGTTTGGGTTTCTTGCAGTAGTGTTTTGTAGTTTTTTTTCCTGTAGATCTTTTACATACCTGGTTAGATTTATATCTAAGTATTTTATTTTTTTAGGGGCTATTATAAATGGTATTTTTTCCTGAATTCCTTTTCATCGTTCTCTTTATTGGTGTATAGGAATCCAACTGATTTTTGTATGTTTATCTTGTATCCTGCTACTCTGCTGAATATTTCTGTTAGTTCTAGTAGATTTCTTGTGGTGTCTTAGGGTTTTCTATGTATACTGCCATATATATCATCTGCAAACAGGGAGAGTTTAACTTCTTCATTACCAATTTGGATGCCCTTTATTTCTTTTTCTTGACTTATTGCTCTAGCTAGAACTTCCGGCACAATGTTAAATAGGAGTGGAGATAAAGGGCATCCTTGTCTTGTTCCTGCTCTCAAGGGTAATGTTTTCAGCCTCTTTCCATTAAGCGTGATGTAGGCTGTTGGTTTTGCATAGATGCTCTTTATTATGTTGAGAAATTTCACTTCTATACCTATTTTATTGAGAGTTTTTATGAGGAATGGTGTTGGACTTTGTCAAGTGCCTATTCTGTGTCAAGTGAGATGATCATGTGATTCTTTTCTTTCCTTTTATTTATGTAGTGGATTACGTTGATTGATTTTCTAATGTTGAACCATCCTTGCATACCTGGTATGA